TGGAATTTCAGGGGATTTGACCATTTAAATATTTTACTTCCTTTTAAAAACCTGCTACCTTCTGTTAATAGATACAGAGAGAACATGAAGGCACTAAGGAAATGTATAGGCTATCACCCAAAATGTTTGTGAAATGTCTATGATTAGAATAAATATATAAAATAGACCTCTGAATTTTTTTTTTTAGTTAACATTTTAGTTTAATAGGGGTTTTTGCTGCTTGAGGGGAGAGGGTGGGTTTGTTTAGTTTTTCTTCATTAACTGTACCTGAATCAATCTTTAAGTGTTCATTTAGTTAGGAATAATGTGTATCTCAGATGTTATTTAAACATTTCCGCTACCAAGCCATGTTATTTTAAACAACCGGTAAATGAATCACTTGCAGAGGTCTCTGCAGAATTGAAGATTAATACTGTTTTCTCCAGCATGAGACATTCAAATTCATCCTCTAGAAAACAATAGAGAACACGGACTACCCTTTTGGGAAAATGCAAGCAATTCTGCAAAGTCAGGAAAGGTTTACATTACAATTGTCATATAAAATTCAGACAAGTCAAATCATAAAAGCCAAACCAAACCAAAATCAGTTTAGCACAGGTGAATGTCAATGCCAAACAAGGAAAATGCAGTGAAGTTGTGGCTTGTCTGGGTGACTTCAGCGTAACAGATTGCATGCATACAAGGAATTTAAAATGAGGGAAGAACCTGAATGTGAACAAAACTGAAATTAAAATCAAACAGTATACTGACTGAGAGGATGGAAAATGCAAGCAGCTAGCTGGTAGCAAATATCTACAGCAGATGTGATTGTCATTAGCTCTAAATGCATGTTAAATTAAACCCAGCATCTATTCTCACAGAGATGGTCTCAGTCATCTTAAAAGAAAGGTTAATTTGTGTATCAAAACTTTAGAAAAGGATGAAAGGCAGTATTTGGTAGCAGTAGAGAAACCTGATGTCTGATAACCATGGGCAAATGTTCACAGTCCAGGATGGTCATTCTGCAGCTCTGAATGAGCAGTGTTACACAGGAGCTGGTGAAGGTCCTGCATGTAGAAGCCAACAAAACCTTTTAAGGGTGTAAATGTAGGATGCAGTGACTTCCTTCTAGACAAAGCTGAGCAAGTAGTAAGTGCTGAGAAAAGGAAAGCAAAGCCCTAAAGATTTCCAAATAATGACTAGCATTTAACTCTGAGCAGCAAAAAGGAATCATTACAATACCAGGCATCATACAATACTGAGACCTAGAAAAATGAAAGTAGTAAGAATGAGTAACTCAGTCAAAAGTTCAATCACACAGTTACCAAGCCTGGATGTAATTTCAGAAAACTGAGGAAAAGCACTTTCAAAATGATGAAGGGATTACAAATAGTAAAATATGTGGTAGGAATTATCATCAGAGAAATCACAAACAGAAAAGAAACTGTGTCATCTATCAGAGCACCAAGAGCCAAGGAATAAAATAACGAAGAGGAGGAAACATGCTTGGCTGGGACATCTTAAAACTGCTCTTAGCCACTGGGTAATAAGACTGACAAGAAGTACTTGGCAGCAGGAAAATGTTACAAGGGCTAAAAGGACAGAAACTATCACTATCTGGTATCCTGCTCTTTCCGTGGCAGCATCAGTTATACAGTACTGGCTATCTAAATTTCTTTTAATAAACAGTATGCTGAAATAACTTAAAAAACAGTCATAGCCAACTTGGTTTAGGGTCATAAATTCTGTTTAAAAGTTTATTTCTCATTTTGGGTCTTGTTGTAAAACATGAAGCGCAGTTCTACTTCAGCTGATTTTAACCACCCTTATCTAAAGCAACAAAACTATGGTTTTGAACACCATCTACCTTATTTCTGGAATACTGTAGATTTAAAGCAAAGTTGCTAAAGTAACAAGTCCAAAGTAAGAAGCTACATGGCTGTTTAGTGAGGATCTATAATAAACTTAAGTAATTATTTCTCACATATTAATTTCACTGTAGTAAAGTTTAAAGCTTTTTGTCCCCTGCACAAGCATTATCCATGCAATTTAGCCATTAAAAATCAGAAATGATGTCTTTATGAAAAAGTGGTGCCATACTTCCATCAGAGAAATCTCTTATTAAACCTCTGATGTTAAAAACCTGGGAAGGGGGGTACACAATGCAAGTTATAATAACAAAATTGGCTACCTAGTATAATGTAGTTGAGTGCAGGTTATTACAGAATTTGTACAAAAGGGAATTTGTTGCTGCCATTTTAATTTTTTTATTTTATACTGATATCCCTGGTTTGTTCTGTTTGGTTGACATACAGAATCCTCTTGTCATTAGCAGGTACTTCTTGCCAATATACTGGTTTATGAATTTTCAGTAATAGATCAGTGACACAAAGTTATTTCCCATTTTTCTTGACTGAGATTTGCTGTTTGGGTATTAAGTAAAAAGTCATTTGCTTTTGCAACAACATAGATAGCATCTGAAAAGATTATTATCCCTGAGGGTAGAAACTATCTGTTAACCTCTCCATGCAATAATAACTACCTGGAGTCTGTATTTGAAAAGCAAAAATGCAAACTAAAACATGTGAGCATGAGGCTGCAGTTCTGTTCTTGTGCAGTGTCTCCTATTGTCCTCCTAGTATGCATTTTCTGCCATTTTCATCATTCTCCTGATAAAATTACAAATGCTATTACACAATAAACATTAGAAATGTTACCCCAAATAAAATTAGCTGAAAAGAGATTAGTTTAATTATTGAAAAAAATGTTGCTTCTACTATATTTGCTTCTGGAAATTGAAAAGTGAAGATAGGATAGGGGACAGAAAAAAAGACTGGAAATTTGCCCTTGAGTTTCAACTCATTTAGGATTGAAAATAAACTTTTACTTTTAAAATAGACTTTCCTTAGATAACGATCTTCAAATTGTCGCCTTGTAGTGTCAGCAATTCATTTAAATAGCGACACTGTAAAAATGGTTGTTCAGTATTGTATTTTAATGACAGTTTTGCCCATGAGAAGTGCAAGACATTATTCCATCAGTAAAATCAGAATTACTGCCATGTATAAATGACAGTCTGAATCCATGCGTATCAGAGAAGTCCATGGCATTAGAAGAAAAAGTAAAAAGAATCTTTTGGTCTGGAACTGTAGCTGATGAAAGAAAGACACCCTAAAAAACATTTAAGAATTGCTCTAGCCAGAGATTCCTTTGACATATAGGTAATTTCAGCTGCTTACCTTTAGATTAAAAATATTAGTAGTGGTGTTCTCAGAAGTCAACACTAAGATACTCAAATAATCCCCACAAATGTTTGTACTTTAAATAGGAGAGGTACTGTCATTCCTACAAAATAAACACATAGTAGGATGGAAAGGAAAAAATCCATCCAAGATGTTAAAGTGTAAACACAGGCTCTTGCAGTAAAGTATATGGAAAACTACAGCAAGGAATGAAAATGTTGTGGGGAAAGAAGTCAGATTGTAAATCTAAACGAAATGATGAGTTGGCAAGTCTGTCATTTAACCCTGAGGACAAATGTCCTAATTGATGAGAGAGTTAGGAATGTAAAGCTGACATAGGAGATGAAGTACTCAGAGAGAGTGGAAAGGAAGGGTACTAGAGAGACCTAAAAACTAAGGCAGAAAGTTTTAGTCCTCTTCAGATTGAAGTCAGACAACATCTCTAAAATTTCTAACAGGGATATGGACCTAAAAAAACCTCAGTAGTTAAACAGAAGACATTAACCTCAGTGACTAATCTGGAGGCCATAAAAACCAAACCAGAATCAAAAGCAAACCTCAGATGGTAGCTCAACCATCTTCACAGAAAGGGGGACATGGCAAACTCCTCATTACCTTGACTTTAAATCATGACATAATATGCTCGTTTGTTCCGAGTTTCTGACCCCCTCCTTCCCCACTGTCAGAGAATGCAATCAGGGACTTGTGAAGCGTTGAAAATTTACTGTGCTCTTCCCTATTCCTTGCACACCCTTAGTCTTCGAGGTCAAGTAACTTCTATCCACCTCTTAAAGCTCTCCAACATTATACAGATTTATTGTCACCAATAATTCTTACACTATTTTATGATAAATTGTGAAAGTCTGACTTAAATGAGAAACTTCACCATAAGAAACTCTAAAAGGGCTCACCTACTTCTAGCCACTGTATTTAGTGGTAGAACAGGGAAACAAATACATCATTATACAGATTAGCTGATAAAACTTCGTGCTGTCATTGGCTGTGACTGTATGTTTTAAGTAACCATTTGTAATGAAAGTGAAGCATGGAACTATTTTCATGAGGAATAAAAACTTATGTTCCACTAGAACAAATTTTGTACTTGGCTGTTTCTGCTGCACATTGTTACTTCTACCCTGGACAAGTTTTGTGGGTACTGACTGCTTTTGTTACTTCTGTCTTCATTTCTGCTTTTGATAATAAATGATGTTTCATGTATTGTTTGGATTACTTTTGTGTTGAGATACTGACACTGAAGTCATGCTGTAGGTACCATCTGAGCCATTCATTAGAGATTCAAATAGTTTATTTTAAAACCCTCTCAACTAAACTCACTCCTGTATTAAATGTGCATGATAAAGTCTTCATTTAATTTGTGCATAGTGCAGATACATGTAACATGTCCCATGGTCCTGGTGGTCGTTCGGTGGTCGTGAAGATGAAGCGCCTCCTCTTCCTCAGTACCCTTTGGACACCCTTATTATGCAACCATTTACCCCTTTGTACAGTTTTGCATGCCTTGCTGACCTTGCCTCTATCTTGAACATTTTGTTTCTTTATTCCACATCCCACATGGTCTTAGTTTTCCTTCCACTGCCAAGGTTTGAGTCTAGTTAGTTCTACTGCCTTACAGATAAGGTGCATCGTTTCGCCAACCAAGCCAAAACAATACCATTAGTGCAGCTTTTTATCTGTACTATGCAATCCTTGCTGTCTTGCAAATTAAGCTGAAATAGTGCTATTAGTAAAGTTCTCCTTTATACTTTCAGCTTTAACTGTTCAATTCCTGCTTTCAGCCTGCTTCTCGGTATCAATGTATTTGTATTGATTAGGAGCATGTAGTTTTCCTAGAAAATCATCCTCTTCACCTGACATACTGTTTTGTAGGATACCAAGTTCAAGATCAGACATGTTAGATGGCAAGTAAGAGCTAACTTGAGCTACTGACTGCTCTTCTCCTGCAGAGGTCTGCCCCTTTCCTGTATTCAGATCAGTATCAGATCTAACTTGTTTGCTTCTCAGTGTAGATCTATGTTTAATATGCTGATCACCCCTGTCTTCTTTACTGATCTGCTGGGCTTCCTGCTCTTCATCTGACAATGATGCCTCTGTTTGAGCAAGGTTAAGTGAGTCAGCAGATTCACCACTAGCTCTCTTGCTGGTTTGAAAGTCACCATTTCTCCTCAAAGACTGGACTGGAGATGAAGCCGAAGGAACTAGCAGAAGATCTGAAGTACTCTGAGCAATTTGACTTGTCTTTGAAGTTCTGGACCTGCTGGATTCTGGCTCTGTGGCTGACCTACCTCGCTTTGGGCTTTCAAGCCACAGAGGTTCAGAACTGCTGTCAAGAGCTTCTGAGACTGCCTGTACACTCAGCACCAGTGAAATCCTCTGAATAAACTGTGTTCTCAGGACTAGCAACAAAGTCATCTGAGTACAGGAATTTAGAATTGTTTTCAACACTCCTGCTAGGGCTTGGTTTATGATCACTTACAACAGATGCATCATCACACTCTGTGGTTTTATGATGGATTAAGTGTATTGCTTCCTTGTTACTTCCCTTTGCATTAGCATCTGATGGGAACGCTGCTGGGAGTTGAGCTTTTGCAGACTTTTTCTTCTGAGAAGATTTTAACAGAGTTTGCTCCAGTAAGGGCGCTGTAGATACTCTGTATGGATGTTCCTTGCTTGCAATTGCAACAGACTTGCAATAGCCTGTTTCTGCAAGTCAGGGGACACATCTCCTGCCACAGACATGGACTCTGTGACAGCACTGTTTTCTAATGAAGTCTGAATAGTTTTATCCAACCGATTATTCTGCTTTGAACTGCCTCTCCTGCTACAATCCCTGCAAGAAACCACATGCTGTTCTCCAGCATTTCTGAGGAGCTTTCTTCCGGGTATAGGGCTTCTCTCCTTCAGCATCTCCAGTTGCTTTCTTCTGTACTGCTCCCTCCTTTCATGCATTATCGGATTACCAGGGTTGGTTCGCTGCACCCGTAGCCTCAGTGTCCTTGTCAGCCCATACAACAGTGTCCTTCTGGGAGGTCTGTTCTCCTTAGCTTTGCAGTTCCCTTCAGAGGCTGGTTTCCGCTGGGGCACTGCTTTCTTAGGTCCTCTCTCAGCCCCAGAAGACTCTGGCGAGCCCCCTTGCCAGCCTTCTTTGCACTGAGGGCTCACCGCTCCACCAGGAGACAGAGGTATCTCTGAAGGCTTGAGAGCAGAGTGGCTGGGGGGCCTTGAGGCTGTGCCACTATTCCCAGCAGCCTGGTAGAGCCAGGGAAGATGGGGATGGACAGCACCAGGCACAGCATTCCGGGCGAGCACAGACAGCTCTGCCAGTAAGGCGCTGAGTACTGGCAGCTGCCCCAAGGCGCTGTGGAGCTGTCGAGGGCTGGCAGGGTGCAGCAACGAGGGCCCGGCACTGGGACGTGGGGGGCTCTGGCCCTTGTCTTTCTCCTGCGGTCTCTGAGCCTCGACATGCTCCCACTGCCCCGTGGTCACTGCTGCTGGTGGCCCATGAGGCTCGGCAGACTCACGGCTGTAATAGAGTAGAGGAGGGTTGCCTTCCAGCTCCTCATCCTCCTCCTCTTCCTCCTC